AACGAGCCGAATCTTGACGGGGACTGATTTTTGCCACACCATTCTCCAACCACGGTGTGCCTCCGAGAATGCTGGGACCCGGTCAGCACCATTCACACGCAAACGTCAGGGCAGTTTTCAAAACTCAAACCGTTCTTGGGACTATCGGCGGATTATTCGTAATGTCAAAATCTACTCTGAACACGCTATTGTACCGACCAACATCCTCCCGTGTTTACGACTCAGAAATACAATCTTGGCTTCTAACATTTTGGGTACCAACTGAGCTCGTAGCCTTTTCTTGAAGTGCCACTTCGCACCTCACATATTCTATTCGGCTCTGCTCTTTCGACCGTAATTGTAGTCGTGTGGATTTACCATTAGAAACTCGCCGAGCAGACTCAGTTGCTGACTCCTAGGTGGCTGCTAGAGAATGTAGCGACATCCCACAATACAGCTTTTCATCGCGTCTCCATAATATAGCTACCATAATGAGATCTATCGTTCTTTCTCGAAGCCGTCATGCCCAAGAATCGTTAGGTCCTCCCGTGCGGAGCTACGTTTCACATCTATCGAGACTGATCACTCCTAAAGACGCAGCAAGCCACTCCATCTCGTCACAAGCAGTCGGTAAGCACCTGATCAGAGCGCCGCAGCCGCCGATTCTACCCCCTCGATCGCATCCCCTGCCTTCCCGGTGCATACACCATGTTCAAGGAGCATCGCAACCGTCCGTTGCCTCCTCCGGCCAGATCCGGTTACTCCGATCCTTCTACTCTCAGGTTGTTTCTCGATCCGCATCTCAACCATCTTCCTCCAGTACCAGTGCCACCGTTATCGCGGCAAGGTTGACGCTTTCCCGTCAGATCTCGCGAGAATCCAGCCGTCTGTTTGAGCAATCAGCAGCTGTCAGGCTCCTGCGATCCGGCAACCTCGCGGCTCGAGAAGTGGCAAAAGGAGCGGCTCGAGAAGCCAGGGAGAAATGGAGCCACTTGCTGCAAGGCGCGGCGGATCGGTGTCGTCCTCCGGTCTTTTTTTTCCCGCCTCTCGCGCGAACCTTCGGCGCCGCGAGCCTCGCGGCGTCCAAGTCGCAGATCGCGCCGCGGCTAGTGGCGATTATTCTCGGGGAAGCAGCGCTTCGGCGGACCACGGGTTCGGGTAGAGACGGGTTAGCGCACGCGGAGCAGATGTTTGGCGCAGCGCAGCTCAAGTCGCAAGTGCAGGCGCAGCACCACACCAACCTCTTTATAGACTTCCTCCTTGAAACGCAAGAAGCGATTCGTCTGGCTCTTAGAGCCGTGTACCTGATGTTTCTTTTCCTGCCCGCGATCGTGACCGGCCCGTTTGCCGACATGGCTGGGGGGCGGTTCCGACAGCAGTGGCTAGAGCTGGTACATAAGACGCTAGAATGCGCGGGAGCGGCGTTTATAAAGTGGGGTCAGTGGGCGGCGACGCGGCCCGACTTATTTCCTAAAGACATGTGCGCGCAGCTGTCGAAGCTGCACACGAAGGCGCCCGCGCATCCGTTCAAGACGACGCAGCGCATCGTGGAGCGCGCGTTCGGACGGCGATTGGAGGAGATGTTTGATGAGTTCGACGAGGAACCCGTGGCGTCGGGGAGCATTGCGCAGGTGTGTTTTGTGCTTTGCAGAAGTTTTTCACAAGCTGGGGTCTTTTCCCTTTATGCTGTCCCTCACCCAGTAAACCCGATCCCCACTCCTTCCACCCCGCTCCCCCCACCTCCACCCGCTCCCCTTCCCCCATCCCCCTCCTGGTTGCGCAGGTGCACCGCGCGGTGCTGACGAGCCGCTATCCGCGCGCGGAGCCGAAGATGGTGGAGCCGCCGCGCATGGTGGCGGTGAAGGTGCGCCACCCGGGCGTGCGCGAGGTGATCCACCGCGACTTCGTCATCATGAACTGGGTCGCGCGCGCCACGAGCCTCGTGCCGGGCCTGCAGTGGCTGCGCCTCGAGGACAGCGTGCAGCAGTTTGCAGTTTTTATGATGGCGCAGGTGAGAGCATGGGGGAGTGGGTACGGGGTGTTGGGTTTTGGTGTCGAGGGGTTTGATGCGCCACCAGCCTCGTGCCGGGCCTGCAGTGGCTGCGCCTCGAGGACAGCGTGCAGCAGTTTGCGGTCTTTGTGATGGCGCAGGTGAGGGCATGGGGAGTTGGTACTGGGTTTAGCTCAGCGGAGGGTTTTGGGGTTGTGGTGTTTGAGGGGCTGATGCACGAGCCTCGTGCCGAGCCTGCAGTGGCTGCGCCTCGAGGACAGCAGTTCGCGGTGTTGATGATGGCGCAGGTGAGGGCATGGGGAGTGGGTAGGGAGGGAGGGAGGGAAAGAGGGAGATAAATTATTGGGGGAGTGGGAAGGGAGGGAGGTGAGGAAAAAGGGAGTGAGGTTTGGAGGGAGGGCATCGTGCGTCACGGGGGTGGGGGGTGGTGAGGTGAAGGGTGGTATGAATATGCAGGAAGGAGGGAGTGCTAGGTTTTGAGGTTAAAAGGTTAGGAGGGAGCAAACACTGAGGGAACTGAACGGCATCTTTTTGTGCGGATGATAACCCCCAAATTGTAGGCGAAGAGGGACGTTATGACTCAGGTCAAGGTTCAGGGTTTGAGGTCAAGGTTCTGGGATTCAGGTTTCGCCATCTTATCCCCATCCTCTCCCTTGTTTTCCTTTCGCTCCTGTACAACTTCCCTCCCCCCGTTCCGTCTGTCGTTTTTCTCCCAGAGCCTCATGCTCTATTAACTCACATTCTTCCCCTACCCATCCTGGCCCCTTCCCCTTACACCGGGTTGACTTAGCTCGAGAGGCGGCCCAGCTAAGTCGCTTTAACTACAACTTCCGCCGCTGGCGCAGCATCAGCTTCCCAAAGGAAGGCGTAGAGACTGTTGATTTGATGCAAAATTCACCTGGAATATCGTTTTTCTTCTCCCACCAATCCCTTGGTCCTCCCTCTCCTCTCGCCAGGTTGACTTAGCCCGGGAAGCCGCCCAGCTAAGTCGTTTCAACTACAACTTCCGTCGCTGGCGCAGCATCAGCTTCCCCAAGCCGCTCTACCCTCTCGTGCATCCCGAGGTGCTGGTAGAAACGTTCGAGTCAGGGCAGAGCGTGTCTCGGTATGTGGATCGGACCGAGCCTGGCGGCGTGGTTGGCCCGGAGGGCAAAGGCGTGTGGCTTGCCGCCGAAGCTGAGAAAGCCGCAGCTGATGCTGCCGCAGCTGCTGCTGCAGGTTTGGCGGGGGGGAGAGTAGGAGGGAGCAATTCGGAGAGTGGGGTGGAGGACAAGAGAATAGCAGCAGCCAGTGCAAAAGAAGGGAAAGGGGCAGAGGACGGGGAAAATCCCAAGGCAAAGAAGAAGCGGCGGTGGCTGGTGCGGGGGCGGCCGTTCAAGCAGTGGTGGGAGAAGCGAGCGGGGAACAAGCTCAACATGGAGCTAGCGGAGCTCGGCTCACACACGCTCCTGAAAATGCTCCTGGTAGACAATTTCATCCACGCGGATCTGCACCCGGGGAACATCCTCGTGCGCATGCAGCGCGGGCATTTGCCGTCCGCGCCGGAGGAAGGGGTGGGGCTGTCGTTGAGCTCCCACCCGCATATTGTGTTGCTGGATGTGGGCATGACTGCGGAGTTAGAGCCAAGGTTCCGAGCCAACATGCTGGAGTTTTTCAAGGCGATCGCCATGAGAGATGGCCGCCAGGCCGCGGCCTGTACCTTGAAGTTTGCGGATAAGCAGAGCTGCGCCGACCCCGACGCTTTCATCCAGGTACAGAGCGGTGGTGAATGGTAGAAGCCGCAGTCAGGTAGGAGGAGAGCCTGGGCGATCGCCATGAGAGATGGCCGCCAGGCCGCGGCCTGTACCTTGAAGTTTGCGGATAAGCAGAGCTGCGCTGATCCTGATGCATTCATTCAGGTACGGAGGCAGCTGGGAGGGTTGGGAACGGTGGTGGAGGGTAGAAGTCCTGATAAGGTAAGTAGGAGGATAGTTCCCACCCACACATCGTGCTGCTGGATGTGGGCATGACTGCGCCGACCCCGACGCTTTTATCCAGGTACAGAGGGGTTGTGAACGGTGCTGAGGGAGTGGGGCTGTCGCTGAGCTCCCACCCGCACACAGTGTTGCTGGATGTGGGCATGACTGCGGAGTTGGAACTGAGGTTTCGGGCGAATATGTTGGAGTTTTTCAAGGCTATTGCGGTCAGGGATGGTCGGCAGGCGGCGGCTTGCACACTGAAATTCGCGAATAAGCCGAGCTGTGCCGACCCGGACGCGTTCATCCAGGTCCCCATGGCACGCATCAAGACGTGGACAACTGGTTATGGAGTGGGATGCGATGGGCTGAATTGAAGCCTCTAGCACCAGTTTCACGAGTCACCCAGTGTTACCCCACTCCCGTTACCCTGCCCTGCCCACTCTCCACGCCTCGCTCCGCACCTTCCCCCACGGCACACATTAGGATGTGGACAACTGGTTATGGAGTGGGAGGATGCGATGGGCTGAATTGAAGCCTCTAGCACCAGTTTCACGAGTCACCCAGTGTTAACCCACTCCCGTTGCCCTGCCCTGCCCACTCTCCACGCCTCGCTCCGCACCTTCCCCCACGGCACACATTAGGATGTGGACAACTGGTTATGGAGTGGGAGGATGCGATGGGCTGAATTGAAGCCTCTAGCACCAGTTTCACGAGTCACCCAGTGTTAACCCACTCCCGTTGCCCTGCCCCGCCCCGCCCACTCTCCACACGTCGCTCCGCACCGCACCTTCCCCCACGGCGCACACCAGGACGTGGACAACTCACGTGTAGAGAGGGTGTTCTTGAGACGTCTCAAAAACACCCTCTCTACAGGTCGCTCCGCACCGCACCTTCCCCCACGCCGCGGCACACACCAGGACGGGGACAACTCGTTCAAGGAGTGTCTTTTTGAGTCGTCTCAAAAACAGGCCCCCACGGCACACACCAGGACGGGGACAACTCGTTCAAGGAGTGGGACGCCACTGGCCTTCTCACCGCCTCTGAAGCCCAGCTCACCAAAACCATCTCTCCACTGCCCCGATCCACTCTTTATCCACTCCCCACACCTCGTCCGATCCCCACACATCGTCCGATCCCCACACCTCGTCCGATCCCCACACCTCGTCCGATCCCCACACCTCGTCCGATCCCCACACCTCGTCCGATCCCCACACCTCGTCCGATTCCCACACCTCGTCCGATCCCCACACCTCGTCCGATCCCCACACCTCGTCCGATCCCCACACCTCGTCCGATCCCCACACCTCGTCCGATCCCCACACCTCGTCTGATCCCCACACCTCGTCCGATCCCCACACCTCGTCCGATCCCCACACCTCGTCCGATCCCCACACCTCGTCCGATCCCCACACCTCGTCCGATCCCCACACCTCGTCCGATCCCCACACCTCGTCTGATCCCCACACCTCGTCCGATCCCCACACCTCGTCCGATCCCCACACCTCGTCCGATCCCCACACCTCGTCCGATCCCCACACCTCGTCCGATCCCCACACCTCGGCCAATCCCACCACCTCGTCTCTCACCAGGATGTGGACAACTCATTCAAGGAGTGGGATGCCACTGCCTTTTCACCACCTCTGAAGCGCAACTCATGAAATCTAACTCACCACTGCCCCAACCCACTCCCTACACCTCACCTCATTCCCCGTCATAACCATCAGGATGTGGACAACTCGTTTAAGGAGTGGGATGCCACTGGCCTGCGCATCCCAACGGGTGACTGCATGCAAGACCTGCTGGAACATGTGGGTAACTTGAATCTTGCCCTCATTTCTTAGTGCTGGTAGTTGCCCTTGTTGATGTGCGCTGGTAATTGCATGTTGCTTGCTGATTACTTGCAAGGTGAGTCATTCATGTTACTGGTAACTCGCCCGTTGTTTGATTCACAACATGTCATCCCCCAAAACTTGAGAATGCTTCTATTGTGTTCAACTTCTGTTGGCCGTGCCTCTTTTATGTTTGCCATGCCTGTTTGTGTTCTATGCGTGGTCGTTTGCCATGCCTGGTTGGTGTCTTTTTTTTTTTTTTTTTTTTTTTTTGCCTCCCCTCCAGGTGCGAAGGCATCGAGTGAACATTGATGGAAATGTGTGTACTGTGATTATCACCACCCTCGTGCTCGAGGTACGTATGCAGGCCCATTTTGGCGTACGTCGTTCTGATTTCAAATTTTGACATAAGAGAATGCTGATAGCATCCTCTTCCATCTAGTGATTTGTTCTGTTGTGATCGTCCTTTTGATCGAGCAGAGCTGGCAACGGAAGCTTGACCCAGACCTGAGCATAATGGACCATCTTCGCTCCCTTCTCTTCCGCTCCGATTTGGCAGAGAGCTTCAATTACACAGTAGATGCAATCATGGCGCCTTAGAGAACTCCAAACTTATCCGGGTAGCCTGGTTATCTAGTTTTTTCGCCTCATGTATTGAACTAGAGATGACTCACGTATTGAACATTCAAGTCGAATAGTGTCAAAGAAATGCCCTGCAACCGAAACATTTCGAAATGGGAGTTACTAAAGAGTACAACAGCCGAGTCATCTCATGACCGTCTGACAGCGTTAGGACGTGGAACTTTCGACGCAAGCGTCTAGGGCGGACGGTAAGTTATCACAGAGGCCTTCATTGATTGGTTACAGATCCATTTCCCAGTTTCCTCTTCGCCCAGTCAGTTTCTGCAAAACTGTCGGCCGTCATTTTCTCTTCTCCACTCACCTGCCTGCTCGCCCTGCCCAATTGCACTGCCGTCAGTTTCCATTTCTCGTCTCGACCCTTCTGCCTCCTCGCCCTGCCCGCTCCATTTGAACACCACCCGTCCCTCCCTTCGTGTGTCTTGTTCCCTGCCGTGCTGCGTTTTCAAACCATGGCCGCCGCGAATCACGCTCGTCGGGTTTCATAGGTGTTTTTTTCAGTGGTTCTGGTTTGCCTCCACGATGTCCGTTCCGAAGGGAGGCACGCTGAGGATCCGGGAGGTGTGGGCGGATAATCTGGAGGAGGAGTTTGAGATGATTCGCGAGATTGTGGATGAGTATCCCTACGTGGCCATGGATACGGAGTTCCCAGGGGTTGTGATCAGGCCGGTCGGGACGTTTCGCAGCAGCGCGGAGTACCACTACCAGACCTTGCGCGTGAACGTGGACATGCTGAAGCTTATTCAGTTAGGGTTGACGTTCACTAACGAGGATGGTATGCTTCCTCATTTCGGACAGAACGAGTACTGCGTCTGGCAATTTAATTTTCGAGAGTTCAATCTTACGGAGGACATTTACGCGCAGGACTCGATCGAGCTTCTGAAGCAGAGCGGCATCGATTTCAACATGAACCAGGAGAGAGGGATTGATTCGTTCCGTTTCGGCGAGCTCATGATTCCATCAGGTGTTGTCCTCAACGAGAACGTGAACTGGATAACGTTCCACAGCGGCTACGATTTCGGCTACCTCCTTAAGGTGCTGACGTGTCAGAACCTTCCAAGCAACGAAGCAGATTTCTTCAACCTTCTCCGCACATACTTTCCTACCATCTACGACATTAAGTACCTCATGAAGTTCTGTGATAATCTCCATGGCGGTCTGAATCGTTTGGCGGAAACCCTAGAGGTGGAGCGGATTGGTCCTCAGCATCAAGCAGGGTCGGACAGTTTGTTGACGTCAGCAGCTTTCAGGAAGCTGAGACAGGGTTTTTTCAATGGCTCAGCTGAGAAATATGCAGGAGTTTTGTATGGTCTTGGAGTTGATTGTGAGCAGTAAATAATATCTAATCTGGTTTATCATTCCTTTCATACCAAGCGGCATCTGACAAGGAAACAAAGAGCAACGCAAAAGGTTGTTATCTTAGGAAGCACTGACCAGACACAGTATGGAGTGTAGCAAACAATGAAGGAATGCATGTCAGATTGTTTGTGCCAGAAATAAGGGCTCCTACAATTCACAGCACCACCTCCGCTCACAATGCCTTAGCAGCGCTCCTCCCGCTCATCCCTCTTTCCAGACTAAACTCTGGCAAAACATCATCCCTCTTCTGCCGTATAAAGTGATAGAGCCACAAGAACGAACTCTTGATCTTCTTTCCAGCACCAGGCACCCCTCTGCTGCTGCTAGCTTGGCTGCTTCCTGAAGGAGTCCGACCCAACACCTCTTCTGCTGCTGATGACAGGTGGTGGCTTGTAGCATACGGTAAGAGTGTCTCTTCCGTGGAGAGCGAGACGAAGTAGACGAAGGGAACGAGCCACACCATGGGAATCATGAACCCCAGAAAGAACTCGATTGAGAAATTTGTGCGGAAGAAGTAATACTGAAACCAACCGAAGTTACTGCAGACGAACCCCACACATGAACCGATGAACTCAGGAGAGCCGAGGCTGACATACGGGAATCGGCGGAGGATCAGATAGTAGACGACGTGTGTAGCGATACCAGTAAGAATGCAGAGGATTGATGGACGGTCGAGTATCAAGACGACGACGTGGACCGCGAGCGCGGCTTTGATGTAAATGCTAAGCAGCTTTTTGGAAGTTCTAGGATTGTCTTCGATGATCTCTGCAATGTAGTAAAGGCCGGATGCGAGGGAGATGGTTAGCAAAACAAGGAAGAAGTAGGCACCCACCCAGGATACTATTGTGGAAACGAGCGGCGGCGTTTTGTACATGGCTGCGTTGCTACAAGCCCATCCAATTTCTGGTCAGTACTGGTCACTCCCGTGCAGCAAGAGAGAGGAGTACGCAAACTAGACAATATAAGAGTTCGGTATCATAACTACGCTGTGAGTCGTTCGATCTGACGGGACGGGCCTCTACAACATCCGGCGACAAGCAACGCGAACGACGCGAACCCGACCACAACACGAAGCACTGCGTCAGCTGCTGGCAACAGCGTCCAGCCTGAAGTTGTCGTCCTATGTACGGACACTAGGGGGAGGTTACACGAAGCTCAGCGATGGCTGCCTTGTTCAAAACCTTCACCATGGCTCTTCTGAAGTTGCCTGAGGAGTCTCAGATTCACCGACTCAAGATGCATGAATTCACGAATTCATGGACGACGCAGCATGTAGGTGGGTTGCATATGTCCCGTGACCCTAGGGTGTGACTAGTTTTTTCGCTCAAACCGTGCCCTAACGTTTTCTGACGCACCGAAAGGTTCTGTCGCGCATGACACCTCACTCAACCGTAATGATAATTGTCTTCGCTACAACCCCGTCCCTTCCTAGGTACACTCTGGTACAAGCTGCAGCGTTGTCAACGCATTGCATGTGCAAAACATAACGCATAAACAAGAAGGCTCATCACGACAATGGTAACCTTCGCGATACATCTTCGCAAAACCTTCCCAAGCAATCGCAAAACCCCCGCAACTGGGGTTGGTGCATCCGAATCTTCCGCCCACCTTGAGAAAATTTCCGCCCATCTTGAGAAAAATTCCGCCTACCTCGAGAATCCCCTCCTTCCCTTCCTCTTCCATTTCCCTCTCTTCCCCCTTCCCCCCTCGCTCCTCCCCTTTTTCCCCTTCCTCTCCCCCCTTTCCCTTCCGCTCGCCCTCAAAGCCGCCATTGCTCCTCCTCTCCTCCTTTCTCTGCCTACCACCAGCATATCTCGCTCTTCTCACTAATAGAGCTTCTGTAGCTCGGACTTAGAGACGTCGTTAGTCTCTTTCGTCGTCACGTGAGCCATCATGGGTGTCTTTATGTTCATCTGCAAAGAGGACGGCGGCAGCTGGTCCGCTAAGCAGGTAGGCGAAGCGGCTCGCAATATTCCTGATTCCTGACATCGTCATAATGAGAAAGCCGGTATCTCAGTTAAGATAAGCACAACCAAGTGATATTCGATAGGCGTAGACGGTTCCTTGTCTTCGATGGATGAATTCTCACTGCTGGTTCCTATCATCGCTTTTAGGTTTCGGCAGGGTCCCCTCGCAATATGATGCGATAGCCCTCGTTATACTCATCTCTGTTTAGTATTCACTTCGCGAAACTAACTATAGTAGTCATGTTCTTACAGTCTAGTGGCTTCTGTCGGTGGTACGCCGTCAGCAACCTCCATTCTCGTCGGATCGTTCCGTCTCCTACCGGAAACCCTAATTCCTGCATTCAGCTTCGCAGCATGATATTTCGCCCGATCTTGCGGCTTTCTATTTCCCGCATCCAACGGCGTGTTTTGTAGTCGACAAAAAAGTCCTCCCTCCCCCATTCCGCAGTACGCGGCGAAGGAGGAGGACAACAAGGACCTCACCGCGGGGCCTTTCGAGACGAGTTCAATCGTATTCCCCCGTTCTCCCCCCTTCTTCCGCCTCCTCCCCCCTTCCCCCCCATTCCGCAGTACGCCTCCAAGGAGGAGGACAACAAGGACCTCACCGCCGAGGGTTCTGACCTTTACTCGCTCGGCCGGAAGCTCGTGTCGCTCGCCATTGAGAACTCGTCGGGCGGCGGCGTCACCTCCTTCTTCTCCTACACCACGCCCAACGCCGGCGTCTACGAGGTACGTACCCGTTATAAGCTCGTGCGTTTCGCCGTTGTGATCTCGTCGGGCGGTGGCGTCACCTCCTTCTTCTCTTACACCACGCCCAACCCTGGTGAATACGAGGTTAGTTTGCCACAGTATGTACCCGGTATAGGCTCGTGTTGCTCGCCGTTAAGACCTCGTCTGACGGCGGCGTCACCTCCTTCTTCTCCTACACCACCCCCAACGCCGGCGTTTACGAGGCAAGTACCCCTCATAACATGTACCTGGTGTAAGCTCGTGTGTTTCGCCGTTGAAAACTTCTCTGGCGGCGGTTAGGAGGTAAATGGATTCGCATTCACGAGGTTAATGCAGAGCCAGTGAAGGTAACCACGGGCGTTTCGTTATTTGAGACGTGTCAAAGACTGGCTCAGAGACGCCTCAAGAAACATTTTTTTTAAAATCGTACCAGGTGTAACCACTGGCATCTGTAAGTTCCTACCTCTGCTTTTGACGCAGTGCCATGCGGAATCCGATCCCACTCGTTTCAAACGTGAGAGTTGAAGTTCCACGCAAAAACACGCCATTCCAAGCCACCCCCCGCCACTCCACTCACGCCTTCCCAAGCCACGACACGCATGCCACCCCACGTGACCCCGTCGAGATGAGCCCTACTCATTCGTGAGTCGCCTGCATAGCAATATCATGCCATGCCATGCCATGTCTCGCAGGTGGCTGCGGGTGGGCTCTGACTGAAGCCACTCGATGTTTTTTGTGGATTGGTAGTGGAAGGTGGCTCCTAGGTGCAATGGCCCGTGGCACGGCGTGGTGTAGTGTGGCGTGGCTGGCGGGGTCGCCGTTTGAGTGTGGTGGGGTGGGGTGGGGATGGTTGGGACGGAGTGGGCTGGGCAATGGTACATACAGAGGGGGTCCGGCTCTCGTTCATGCACTCGCTCACTTCAACTCTTGTTGATTCAGTATCGTTAATGCACTAACTGGTTCAAATCTCTTGTGTGCCGTGTGATCCATCCATGTGTGCTGTGTGTGCTGGCAGGTGAAGGTGGGTGGTGGCCTTGTGATTGCTGCTGAAAAGAAATGGCCCACATGCTCTCTCTCATGCACTGGCTCGCTCAACTCTCCCCCTGTGTGTGCCGTATGTGCTGTACTGTGTGTGTTTCGTGTGCTGTGTGTGCTGGCAGGTGAAGGTGGGTGGTGGCGCTGTCATGGCTGCTGCTGCCGGTGCTGCTGCCAGCGGTGGTGGCGCTGCTCCTGCTGAGGAGGCCAAGAAGGAGGAGAAGGAGGAGGAGAAGGAGGAGAGCGACGATGACATGGGTTTCTCCCTCTTCGACTAGACTCTGCTACTACCATAACTCCCCCCGGCACTTTCCCCAGCAGTGTACCTGTAGACGCCACAATAGCAGGATCAGTAACAATGGCTGAAACGTCATCATCAATAGCAACAGCAACAGAAGCAGCAGCAGCAAGAGCAGCAGCATGAGTAGCAACGGCAGCTGCATAGATGACGGCTGTTGTATTAAATATAAGAGAATGGTGTTTTTTTACCAGATGTTGCTGTTGCTGGTGAAGCATAAAGCTGTTGCTGGTGGTGCTGCTATTGTCAATGAAGATTGATTTATTTACTACAATCAAGAAGCCTGAAATACATGCCAATGCAGCTGTCACATGCATACAGTGCCAGAAATGTCTTTCCTCTTCAGCTGAATAAACATGGTGGCGTGGCCCATGGGTGGTGTTGGATCTTGACTCGCCTGCCTTACTGCTCCACTAGCAGGATAGTACCGTACCGTACATGCTCCACTCATTTTCTCCTAAGATTGGTAAGCACAACTAAAGCTAAGCGGATTGATTGAGATTAACCCCAAGAATACTGGTTGCTCAGTTAGCGCTGCTAATGGCCTTGTTGAAACGAAAGGGGGCCCGGGGTGAAGTATGAGTGGAAGAGAGGGAGTTGTTGAAGCAACCCAGTTCCCGCAGAGTATCAGCCATGTCCTTGTACATTCTATAGTGGGGTTTGAGCTGCTTATGAGAGCTAACAGCACCGCATCGCACTGTACCATGATCCACCGCACTGCACCGCGGTTCTAATTGTGAGGCTGGTCTAAAACTGGAAGAGGGAGTCGCTTGAGTAATCCAGCCCCTGCAGGGCGGCAAACCGCACTGCAACGCATTGCACTGCATTAGAACTGGAAGAGGGAGTCGCTGGAGTAATCCAGCTCCTGCAGGGCAGCGGCAATGGCCTTGTTCATTGGTGGGGGGCCACAGCGCACCACCTGGCAGTATGTGATTGAAGGGAATGGGCAGCACATTATTGGAGGGAATTGGTAGAATGTGATTGGTAGGTGAAGGAAGAGCGTTTTAGGAGGGACAATACAGTGTGATTTGAAGGAGCAGGTAAAAACGGAGCAGGCATGCCGCAAAGGTGGCCCCTTTCAGAACATACACGGCATTGAAATTCAGAACGCACCAGGAGCTGGTGCAGGGGTATGCTCTTTTAAAATGGCTGGGTGGGGTGACAAAGCCCACTAGCGCATCAAATCGGCGCCACAGGCTTACCCATGCAAGCAAAACATACCGTGACATTGATACGATAAGTTTACCCATGCAAGCAGCACGCACCATGACATCGGAAGCGGGTGCAGGGATGTGCTGTTGGATCATGGCGGGAGTTACAAAGCCCACTCCCCCCGCCCACCCTTCCGGTGGCTGTTGAGGGGAGCGAGAAGGGTGAGGAGGGGGAAATGGAGGGTGTGGGGGAGAGAGGCATGAGGCAGGTGCAGGGATGTGCTGTTGGATCATGGCTGGGGTGACGAAGCCCACTCACCCGTCAACCCTTCCGGTGGCTGTTGGAGGAGCCAAGTGGGGGAGAGGGGAAGAGAGGGTGTGGGGGAGACACAGCAGGAAGGAGCAGGGATATGGCCTGCAGGTGTCATCATGGTAACAAAGCCCACTTTCCCCGCCCACCGCTCTGGTGGCTGTTGGATGGGAGAGAAGGCGAAGCTGGGTGGAGGGAAGGGTGGAGGGGAGGGGCAGTTTACAAGGGAGAAGAGGTTGGAGGGGAGAGGGTGAGAAGAAAGGCAAGCATTACGAACGAGGCAGTGCCTTGCTCCTTGACTGTAAGCACATGAGACCTCGACAAGGGCATGCCTCGTTAAGAGCACACCTGGTTAAGCACATAGTAGATGGAGAATCGACCAGGCGCTGACTTGTGCAGCGCCTCTAGCTCGTCCTGTAACAGAGAAACATTGGGCGGAGGAGGGGGTGGAGGTGTGTAGGGGAGCAGAGGGGGTGGAGCGGAGGAGGGGGTGGAGCGCAGGAGGGGGTGGAGGTGTGTAGGGGAGGAGGGAGGAGGGGAGGGGCAAGGCAGGAAAAAGGGGAAACGAGACACGAAACGGTTTAGCCTTTCCATGAGAGAGAGGTCTCAGCAGCAGCAGCACACACTCATGTGTGCGCACCTCAAGCACCTTAGTGAGTGTCCGAGTATCAAAGGGTGCCAGAGAGGACATGGCACAGCACATGTGTGCGTGTGTGCATCACGTACGTTTAGCGGGAATATAAAAACACATCTTATGTTTCTCCACACCTTAGGAAGAATCAAACTCACACAAGATTGCCAAAGAGGATGGCACAGCACATGTGTGTGTGTGTGTGTGTGTACGAACCCACCTTGAGCAAAATATCGTCAGCTGTGACGTTGGCAAAGATGAGGGAGATGCTGGTGCGGTCTGATGGATTCTCCAGAATGGCTCGTGCAACCTGGTTGGGGAGTGAATTCAGAATAAAAATCGAAGAGGAGAAGAAGAAGAAGGAAGAAAAGTTGGGAACGAGAGAAATGAGGGACATGTTGAATCGGTCTCACGGGTATTCAAGTATGGCTTGAGCCATTTGGTTGGGGAAAGGATATGAAGGGGGCGGAGGGAAAGGGGCATGCAGGCATGGGACGATGAAACTTTCTAAGTGTAGTTTGCGACTAGAGTTCGAACATGCAAAAACAGGGACTCAGAAAATGTCAGTCCTGTCTGACCTCTCACCCCATGTGAAGCATAGCTTTCCTCTGCCCCATTTGATACACAGCACCGACATTTCCAGCGATCATGGCTTTCCAACCCACCTGGAACATGAGAGTCGACCCGGTGTTTCCTGTGATCATGGCTTTTAAGTCGACTCGGAAGTCACACTTGACACACAGCAGCACCACTTCCAACTCCCCTGGAGCACAGCAGAGCCGTTTCCAACCTACCTGAACTATGGGAGTCAACCCCCCGTGCTTCCTGCAATCATGCCTTTTGAGTCGACTCAGAAGTCACGCCTGACACACAGCAGAGCCTTTTCCAACCGCATAGAACATAGCAGCACCATGTTCAACCCACCTGGAACATGGGAGTCACTCCGGTGCCTCCTGCAATCATGCCAATCGCACGGCACATGTTGGGGCGGTATTTGAAGCGACCCTGGGGGGGCATTGGGTGGGTAAGGCAGGAGAGAATGGGGAAAGGGACGGCAGGAGGGAATTAGGATAGGGAAGGCAGGAGGGAATGAGGACAGGGAAGGCTGGAGGGAATGGGGACAGTGACGGCAGGAGGGAATGGGGACAGGGAAGGCAGAAAATGGGGGCATGAGTCGACTCAAATGTCCACAGATGCGCAGACAAAGGATTAAGAGCAGAGATGGTAGTGTGGTGGGCGGGGCTGAGGGGCGGCACCAAGCCGTGTATGGGAAAGATTGGGGTCGGAGGACAAGATATCCCAATATCCCTTTTCACCTCTCTCCACCGTTCCTCACCTTGGGCCCGCGCATGGCGACGAAGTTGCCGACCTCCAGCTTGTTGAGGTACTGAGACATGGCGCCATTGGGGTAGATCTGGTGGGGGGGAGGGGAAGGGGAGGGGAGGAGAGTCAACGCAAGTCAAGTCAAGGCAAGTCAGGAACAGTTGCCGACCTCCAGCTTGTTGAGGTACTGCGACATGGCGCCGTTGGGGTAGATCTGGTGTGGGGGGAGGTGATGAATGGGTGAGCAGGCACGCAGTGACGCAGGGATAATTTATATGCATTGGAAGTTGAGTCAGAGGCAGTTGCCGACCTCCATCTTGTTGAGGTACTGTGACATGGCGTGTTGGGGTAGATCTGGAGAGAGCGGAGAGGGGAGGATGTGGGAGTTGGCACGCAATATTTTTTTAGTAAAGTCAAGTCAACTCAGCAGCAAATATTTGAGTGGGGAAAGGGGGATGGATGGGGGTGAGGGGAAGAAAAGGGGAAAGGGAGAGGGGAGGTGGCAAAATCAAGGCGGGACGGGGCAAAACCTCACCTTGATGACGATATTAACGCATCCGACATCGGTGTCGAGCGTTGTTGGCGTGTATGGTCGCATGAACTCCTTCCCGTTCTCGTCCTTCCCCCTGGCCCGGGAGATAGATTAAGAACGCAATCACGTACGACGGAGAAGACGAGAATAGGGAGACAGTGGATTAGAAAATCGTTAAAGAAGCGGGGTTATAAAAACATGGAGATAGAGACAGCAGCAGGAGGAGATGAGTGTGAAAACTGTGCACTGAATGTGGCGAGTGGATGGACGGAGTAGCCGAGGACTAACAAGGTCTATGGAATGTGCCTGACGTTTGGAACTAGAAGTTTGCATTGAAATTGTTACTGCGGGCTGACGCATTGACCACGGGAGGGCCGAGCACTGTGTCTTGTGACTGGAGCAAAAAGACGACGATTACACGAGGTGAACCTAACACGCTGACATACTTACTGTAGGCTGACGTGTTGGCCGATGGGGAGCCCGAGCACCGTGTCAGGTGTTTGGAGGGAGAAGCTGAACTTGACGACATTGTGGGTGATGTTGGTGCGATCGATGAGCTGAAATTTCCGCCATTCCTCGGGGTGTAGGGCCACTGCAAGGAGCGACGGGAGAAGACGGGAGACGAATGAGGAGGACATATGACTTTTGAGACTCTTTAACGGGCTGATCCGCTCGATCAGCTGAGATTACCGGAATCGTTCTCCAGTCACTGAAAACGGCGAAGAGAACAGAACAGACAGTAGTTGATTATGTTTTTTAGGGGAAGTATGAATGTGACGAGTCGTCAGACGACAGCACGCAGGCGCTGCGGACTTTCAGTCGAATCTGGGTTCGCCTGCTTCATAACGAATAGAAAATGCACCTTTTCTTCGAGGCTTCGTGTTGAGAGAAACAAAGAGTAGCAGGAGGATCGCCCCAGCGGCCACAGCGACGACTACCGGCAGAGGTACCGGCCAGCCGTCAGGAGAGGAACTCAATGCATCTTTCAGCGACTGTAGGAGATCCGCAACCTGGGCCATGGCGCCGAAACGTCAGAAATTAGCAGTCGTCTATCGCTGAGAAAAGCGACTGCAGGATCTGGTTTAGTCTTTCTTTTGAAGCTGTGTGTGTGGTGGAATGGAAGATGATGGATCATGGAACGAGTTTGCATCAGCCGAAAGAAGCGACAGAATCGAGGAGGAGCAACGCGGGAGACGTCACCTTCATTCAGGGACGTCAGATTCTAACATTTCGAGGGACCAGATCTGTTGGCCATTCTGACAATTTTTGGGAGGTCAGGTAGGTTGTGAAGCCTCAGTTTAGAAGTTTTGCGTTGAGTCACGGTAATCTGTACCGCAGAACGGTTTACAAGGGTTCTGAGCAGGAAAGAAGGTATCTTGGACACGAACCTGGATTCCGTTGTCTCGGAAACTCCTCGTGATTGCTCTTCATTCTTCGAAGCTCAGGTCGGTTCCTTACGGTTTTGAACGGTACTTCAGCTTCATCTTTTGCACCACAATAAGGAGTACGGCATGTACGGTACAAGAAACCTACCGTATGTTGCACCACACTCCACTACAACACCACCCTTTAGGGCATGTTCTAACAGCCCCTTATCAGGGGCAACACATACGTATCAGTCTCAGCATAAACCACAGTTAACTCAACTCTTGCAGGGTGGCAGCCATGGCCTTGTTTGCTGAGAAGTGGGGTTTAAGCTGTTTATTGGATCAAATCACAGCTTATTGCACTGCACTGCATTAGAACTTGAAGAGGGAATCACTTGAGTTGAGTAGCCCAGCTCCTTCAGGGCGGCAGCCATGGCCTGGCTCATTGTTACTTGGTGCAAGAGCTGTTAACTGGAGCAAATCGCAACACATTGCACTGCACCGCATTGCACTGCACTGCATTGCACTGCACCGCATTGCACTGCACCGCATTGCAATACACTGCATTAGAACTTGAAGAGCGAGTCGCTTGCATAGCCCAGCTCCTCCAGGGCGGCAGCCATGGCCTGGTTCATTGGCTTGGGGCCACAGCGCAACACCTGGCAGCACGTGATTGGAGGATGGGAAGCACAAGATTAGAAGAAGGTAGAACATAAATGAAGGGGAAATACAGCGAGGGGGAAAAAATCACACATATGAGGCAAGAATGATCGACGGGTGCGGCATGGGATGTGATGTGAGGAGGAGGCAGGAGGTAGGAGGAAGATGGCAGGGAGGGAGCATACCATGACGTCGGGAGCGGGTGCAGGGATGTGCTGTTGGATCATGGCGGGAGTTACGAAGCCCACTCCTCCAGTCCACCCTTCCGGTGGCTGTTGAGGGGAGCGGGATGGGCGAGGAGGGGGAAATAGAGGGTGACGGGGAGAGAGACATGAGGCAGGTGCAGGGATGTGTGGTTGGATCATGGCGGGAGTTCAAAGCTCACTCCTCCACTCCACCCTTCCGGTGGCTGCTGACGGGTAGGGCCGGGAGGGAGCGAGAGAGGTTGTGGGACGTGTCAGTAACGGGCAAGTGGGCTGCAGAGGCCTTACTTCCATACAAGCACATACAATGCTAAGATCCTACAAGCACACACCTCGATCAGCACACACCTCGATCAGCACACACCTCGATCAGCACACACATACCTCGTTAAGCACATAGTAGATGGAGAGCCGGTCAGGCGCTGACTTATGCAGCGCCTCTAGCTCGTCCTGTAACAGGGATATTGGGGGGGGGAGGGGGGGCAGAGGGGCAGAGGGGAGGGAAGACATGAGACACAAACAGGTCCGCTCATGTGTTGCGATTGGTTTGCGATGTTCAGAAACGAGCAAGCCAAACCTCAGGCGCACTCTTGGCACTCCAGTAAACATCAACGACCCAAGAAAGCAAAACCTCAGGCGCTGTAACAAGTGCCATGGCAGAGAGTTTATTACAGCACGTGTGTGTGTGTGCACACCAGGAGACAAGAATCACACGCGTGTGTGTGTGTGAACGCACCCACCTTGAGCAGAATATCGTCGACTGTGACGTTGGCAAAGATGAGAGAGATGTTGGTGCGATCTGATGGGTTCTCCAGAATGGCTCGTGCTACCTGGTTGGGGGGAGGAAGAAGGCAGATGGAAAGATGGGAAGGGGAGAGAGGAGCAGGTGTGGATGTGGCGTGGTCTGCTGGGTTATCAGGAGTGGTTCATCCACACACACACAGTGGTCCACACACACAGTGGTCCACACACACAGTGGTCCACACACACAGTGGTCCACACACACAGTGGTCCACACACACAGTGGTCCACACACACAGTGGTCCACACACACAGTGGTCCACACACACAGTGGTCCACACACACAGTGGTCCACACACACAGTGGTCCACACACACAGTGGTCCACACACACAGTGGTCCACACACACAGTGGTCCACACACACAGTGGTCCACACACACAGTGGTCCACACACACAGTGGTCCACACACACAGTGGTCCACACACACAGTGGTCCACACACACAGTGGTCCACACACACAGTGGTCCACACAAACAGTGGCTCGCATTCCTCCCACCTAGAACAAGGGAGTCACCGTGGTGCCTCCTGGCTTTGTCATCCCACCTGAAACACAGCCGCACCATTCCCAACCCACCTGGAACCCCAGCTGCACCATCCCCAACCCACCTGGAACACGGGAGTTACCCTGGTGCCTCCTGCAAGCATGCCTTTTGAATCAATACAGAAGTCACACCTGAGGCACAGCGGTACAACTTCCAACCCACCTAGAACATAGCAGCACCATTCCCAACCCACCTGGAACACGAGAGTCACCCCGGTGCCTCCTGCAATTATGGCTCTTCAGCCGACTCAGAAGTCACATCTCACACGCAGCAGCACCACTTCCAACCCACCTGGAACATGGGAGTCACCCCGGTGCCTCCTGCGATCATGCCAATTGCACGGCACATGTTGGGACGGTACTTAAATTTACCCTGGAGGAGAGATTGGATGGGAGGAGGCAGGAGGAAATGGGGGAGTAGGGAAACAAGGGCGGAGGGTACGAAGCTACTGACATAGCAATGCCTCAGCAATAGCACGGAGCATGATGGGGCGGTACTTGCAGCGACCCTGGAGGAGAGACTGGGTGGAGGGAGGCAAGGGGAAACAAGGCCGGAGGTTAGGAAGCTACTGACAAAGCAATGCCTCAGCAATAGCACAGAGCATGTTGGGTTGGGGCGGTGGTTGCAGCGACTCTGAGGGGCAATTGTGGGGGGAAGAAAGGAGGGAGCGGGGGCAGGGAAGGCAGGAATGGGGGGAGTGAGTCGACTCAAATGTCACCGTGATTCCGAATATAAAAAAAGGAGTAGATAGTTGAAGCATAAATCCACAAATGACATGGTACTGTAGTGCGAGGGAACCGAGAGGTACCATCACGACGTGTATTGGGATAGATTGGGCGAAGGACAAGAGAACCCTCTCCCTTATCACCTTTCTCCAACATTCCTCATTTCTCTCCACCGCTCCTCACCTCTCTCCACCGCTCCTCACCTTGGGCCCGCGCATGGCGACGAAGTTGCCGACTTCCAGCTTGTTGAGGTACTGAGACATGGCGCCGTTGGGGTAGATCTGGTGGGGGGGGTTGGGGGAGGGGAGGATGAACAAATGATTCAGCCTGGGGAGGGGCGGTTATGCCTGAGTCACTCTCGAGAATTCTTAAACTCGGGGTGGGAAGGGGGAGAAGGGGAAGACGTCACCTTGATAACGATGTCAACACATCCGACATCGGTGGCAAGCGTTGTTGGCGTGTAAGGCCGCATGAACTTTCAGTCGACCCTAAAGTCAACTCGGCAAGGGGAATGGCAGCGCGTCAATCAACTTGATGACGATATCCACGCATCCGACATCCGTGTCGAGCGTTGTTGGCTTTGACACGCCTCAAAAGACGAATACTGAGACGCATAAAAAGCCTTGAGCACTTCACCTTGATGACGATGTCAACACATCCGACATCGGTGTCGAGCGTTGTTGGCGTGTATTTCCGCGTAAACTCCTCCCCGCTCTCGTCCTTCCCCCTGGTCCGGGAGACGGATCAGGGAGGGAACGCGTACGACAGAAAGAAAGAAACTGAGGGGACAGTGCAACAATACGGCGGAACAGGGGGTGAGGAATCACATGTAGAGAATCAGCAGGAGGAGATGTTCGAAGGTTTAGGGTTTGGGGTTCAGAGTCGACTCAAAAGTCAACTCGGAGTCGTTCGAAGGAGAGCTGGAAGCTGGAGCGAGAAGCGAGTTGACTTTTGAGTCAACTTCAAAGTCAACTCAGAGTTGATCGATGGAGAGCTGCAAGCCAGCAGCGAGAAGCGATCTTTTAAAGCCATTGTTGACGTTGGTCTGGTGAGGTTGCTCTGGTGAGGTTGGTCTGGTGAGGTTGGTCTGCTGAGGTTGCTCTGGTGAGGTTGGTCTGCTGAGGTTGCTCTGGTGAGGTTGGTCTGCTGAGGTTGCTCTGGTGAGGTTGGTCTGCTGAGGTTGCTCTGGTGAGGTTGGTCTGCTGAGGTTGCTCTGGTGAGGTTGCTCTGGTGAGGTTGGTCTGGTGAGGTTGCTCTGGTGAGATTGGTCTGCTGAGGTTGCTCTGGTGAGGTTGGTCTGCTGAGGTTGCTCTGGTGAGGTTGCTCTGGTGAGGTTGGTCTGCTGAGGTTGCTCTGGTGAGGTTGCTCTGGTGAGGTTGCTCTGGTGAGGTTGGTCTGGTGAGGTTGGTCTGGTGAGGTTGCTCTGGTGAGGTTGGTCTGCTGAGGTTGCTCTGGTGAGGTTGGTCTGCTGAGGTTGCTCTGGTGAGGTTGCTCTGGTGAGGTTGCTCTGGTGAGGTTGGTCTGGTGAGGTTGGTCTGCTGAGGTTGCTCTGGTGAGGTTGGTCTGCTGAGGTTGCTCTGGTCCACGATGGAGACGGCTCAATACACGCGGTTTAACGTTGAAAAGTTATTAGTTGAACTTGACGACATCATTGCGGGTGATGTTGGTGCGATCGATGTTCGAGGCGTCTCAAGAATCATTCCTACTGCAAGCCATTCTTACTGCAGGACGACGTGTTGTCCGATGGGAAGGCCGAGCACCGTGTCGGGCGTCTGGAGGGAGCAACCGAGGATTACAAAAGGTCAACGCAACGCGTTGACTTTTCTAAACGCGTTGACATTCTTACTGCAGGACGACGTGTTGTCCGATGGGAAGGCCGAGCACCGTCTCGGGCGTCTGGAGGGAGAATCTGAACTTGACGACATTGTGGGTTATGTTGGTGCGATCGATAATCTGGAACTTGCGCCACTCCTCAGGATGTAGAGCCACTGGAGGAGCGACGGAGGGGAGAAGACGGGAAAAGAATGAGGATGGCATACGACTATTGAGCGTCTTTAACGCGATAACCGCTCGATATCAGTTAAGATCACCGCCATCGTTCCCCAGTCAGTGAAACGGGTGAATGGAGCAGACGGTCGATCGCCTCCTTGATTTGAAACGCGTCGCGGGATACCCCGTCTGGGTTCTGAGACGTGAATCTAGTGTGAAGTAGTGTGGAAGTGACAACGACCGCGGACGCTCGGGCCTTTTTTATCGAACCTTTTTTTTTATCGAACGCTAGATTCACCAGCTTCAGAAACAATAGAAAGTGTACCTTTTCTTAGAGGCTTCGCGTTGAGAGAAACAAAGGTAAGCAGGAGGAGTCCCCCAGCGGCCACAGCGACGACTACCGGCAGAGGTACCGGCCAGCCATCAGGAGTGGAACTCAATGCATCTTTCAGCGACTGTAGTAGATCCGCAACCTGGGCCATGGCGTCTTACGTCAGAATCTAGCAGTCGTCTATCGCTGAGAAAAAAAGCAACTACAGGATCTGGAGTAGCTGTTTTGAAGGTGTGTGTGTGGAATATGGAGGAAGAGGGAATGTCGGCGGAAGGAGCGGCAAAATCGAGGTGATCAAACGCGGTTTCGAGGGACCAGATCCCTGGCCATACCGACATTAGCGGGGGTACAAGGCCAGGAGCGTGCGGGTCGTGTAGTTCCTTGCAGTGCTGTATTATCCAGTCACGGTGAATCTCATTACAGAGAGGTTAAGTTGGGTTTCAAGCTATTAGAAGTGTTTCTGATACAATAACTCTAGATTCCTTTGTTTTTGGTACCTTGATCTGACACGTCTTTTGAAATCATACCGTTGCTACCGAAGTTCGACCTGGGGCGCATTTACACGGAGGTATTGTCGTCGCTGCTGGACCTGCTTCTTCGCACAGCTGTCGCTGGCCGGTTTGCACTGTCGCCATTGGCTTCACCCTGCAACTAGTGCAGCCTGCGTCTCGAAAGTACAGACTGGCAGTCAGCCCTGCGCCTCGAATTTCGGTTACCACATTACGTTAACTCGCGCACTCGCCAGGCTTTTCCCTGTCAGCTCAACACGATAGCACAGTGACCAACCTTGAAGTCTCCGCGCGTTCTTCGCCGGTCGTTCCCCGAACTCCCGCCTCGTCCGCGGCCCCCAGAAGCACGTAAGGCAGCAGGGAGAGAAAACTGGTCGTCGTCCTTCCCCATTGCCATTTGCGCCCGTTGCGCCCAACCTCCCCCCGCACCCCTGGACTGTACAGTGTTTCCGCCAACGACCACCCGCACCCGTCCCGAGACTGCCTCCCTTCTTCCGTCCACCCCTCCTCACCAATCTGGCAAAGCCATTTTCGCTCTGCCTAAGTTTTTGCGGCTCAACGAGGTTGTTTGCGTTTCTCAGCGGTTGATTAAATAATGAGACTGGTCTCGTAGGGTAATGAGCCAGAATGAAGTTCTGGGACGTACCTTGAGACCTACTTGGCTGTTGGGCCCATCAATCAATCAATCAGCCTGCCATGTTCAAATAACAACGCGTGCGCTCTTACCATCTCCGCATTATCCGCCTTGCAACTACTTTACTTTCGCTTCACTATTCTCACCTCGTACTTCCAGAGCCAGCAGAACCAGTTGATCCATACGGCCACGTGTTATCTTGCTAAAGCTCGGAGGTCGTGCCGATTAGGGATTACTGGTAGAAATAATTAGGTCATCTTAGGTTTCTCTTACTCGTTACCGATTTCTATTTATTTGCATCATCCTGCATTGTCCCTATGGCGCCTCGTCCGTACCCGTTCTATTCCCCTAAACCGTGTCCGATAGACCAGACATAACATACACGTCAGCATTTGCGTCAGCAATACCTGAAACGCAAAATCCGTCGCCTCTAATTTCATCCCAACATTAGCTTGTCCCCAGTCCAAACGGTATCTATCAAGAATATTCCATCAGAGCTAACGCATCGTTAGGATTAACAGCACCAGACAGGCCACCATGAGTTCATCAAACCCTAGTTTGGCGTCCATGGTAGACTCGATGCTCAAGACCATCGAGGAGACAAGGCGACTTGCGCCGAAAGTTCCGGTCGACACCGCAAGTTTTTTAACAATGGCGTTTTACCTAGGCGAGCTTCGCGATGTCCTGTCCCAGCTCAACACGAAACGCGACCTGACCAAGTCGTCAGCGGAAGCCCTAAACGGCATGAAGCGGCTGAAAACGGCTCTGGACGATCTTAAGAAGCTGACTAAGGACCACACGGAGTGCAGCCGGCTGTTCTTGATTTTCGACACGGATAAATTAGTCGGCGACTTGCAGCGGATGGTTCAGGAGGTGGGTCACGATCTGAACCTCATGCCGGTCCTGAGTATCATGTCGTCGCTTCCGACGGACGTCGCGAATCGGCTGACGGACCTCCGCGGCCGAATGCGGGTCGCGACGTTCGATTCCGAGCCGGAAGTTGCGGAGCTGTCGCTGGCGTTGGAGGATGGCGTGACGAAGAACAGCAAGAAGGTCGCAACGAAGCTGGTGGAACGCGTGTTGAAATTCCTAGAAATGCCGTCGTCGGAGTCGGATGTGCTTAAAGAGGAAGTGCAGCGGGATCTGCTTGTAGCGGAGAAGGAGGAGCGGTGGATGGACGTGGATAAGCTAACGGAGTTAAAAACGCTCGTCAGCCTTGCGAGTATTTCCAGTGAAGCGCCGATCACGCAGACGTTTTCCCGCCTCGCGCTGCGGCTCCGGGAGGAGCTCGGGATGGCGGTTCCGGATAACTTTAAGTGCGCGATGACGGGCGAGGTGATGCGAGATCCGGTTACCCTGGTCGAAACTGGCGACACGTACAATCGCAACGCGATCGAAAACTTTTTCGCGAAGGGGAAGCGCGTGTGTCCCAAGTCCGGGAAGCACCTCAAAAGCGTGGAGCTGGTCTGTAACGTGGAGATCCGGAAGGGCATAGAGGAGAGTTACGACACGCTGAACCGAAAGACGCTCGACGAAGCGTCGCGGATATTAAGAGACGGCATGGAGCAACGAGCATCGGATGCCGCAGCAGCGGCGGAAGCGAGAGCAGCCGCGCTGGCCGCGGGGGGGGAAGCGGCGGAGGCGATTCTGGCGGAGGAAGCGGCGAAGGCGGAGGAGGAGCGGAAGAAAGAGGAGGAGAAAAAAGCGGCGGCGAAGAAGAAAAAGAAAGGGCCGGAGCCGCCGCCGAAGGAGGAGCCGAAGGAGGCGAGCGGAGGGGAGAGGGAGGAGGAGGCGGTGGAGGCGATGCAGCAGCTATCGTCGCAGGATAAGAAGTATGCCGCGCAGCTCGCGGAGATTGGTGCTGTGGTGCCGCTGGTGCGGCTGGTGACGGAGAGAGGCGCGGGGCCCGTGCGGGAGGGCACGGTGACGGTATTGAGGAACATCGCCAGCCTGGGAGAAGCAGAGGCCGTAAGTTGTTGATTTATATTTTTTTCTTATAGGCACCTGAAAAATACGGGAGGGCACGGTGACGGTGTTGAGGAACATCGCCAGCCTGAGGGAGGCAGAAGCCGTGAGTTTTTGTTGTTCTTTTTTCATCTTGTAGGCGCCTGGATGAAGCGGGAAGGCGCGGTGACGGTGCTGCGGAAACATCGCCAGCCTGGGAGAGACAGAAGCCGTTAGTAAATTTCCCAAGCCGTGGGTTATAGTGAAACGCGCTCTTTTCGATCTCTCCTTTTCGTTTTTTGAGTCGAATATCATGTTGTGAGTTATAATTAGCGCGTTTCCCCAAAGCGAAAGAGAACCTTGGCTTCTGGTACCTTGTGGTCTCACCACCACGTGCCGTTCATATCAGAAATGGCTCCGATATATTGCTAGAAACGGTTTTGGTTTAGTTCCTAGAAATGTGGCTGCTCCTGAATCTCTCGCTCTTCCCGTCGATGCGGGAGGCGGCGACTGAGGCGATGGAGGTGGTGAGTCCACTCAAACACCGCCCTCCCTTCCCCTCTCTCCCCTCCCGTCCCCCTTCCCCCTTTCTCCAGACATCTATATCGGACGCGGGGGGCATTCAGAGCCGGTGGGGGCGGTACGTCCACTCAAACACCGCCCCCACTTCTCCCCATCCTTCCCCCCCGTCCCTTTCCCCCCACTTTCCCGTCTCCAGACAACTTTATCGGACGCGGGGGGCATTCCCCCAATGATCCACCTCATCACGCACGATACACCCGACGTGACTCCGGCCATCCAGGTGGTATTAGAGCTCTCGCGCTTCCCGGCGCTGCGGGGGGCGGTGACGGACGCGATGGGGGTGGTGGAGATGATAAAGCTGCTCAACTGGCACCAGGAGGACGAGAAGGGCGCGCTGCTGGAGGCCGTGCTGGAGACGTACTGGCGCGACGACCCCTACGTCGCCATTCAGATGGCTTCTGTCGGCATGTTCAAGCCGCTTGTGGTGCTGCTCGAACCAGGTGGGTGCCAGTGTGGGGCTAGGTGGCTGTAGGTAGGTGTATGGGTCAGGGTGTGGGTCTGTGGGTTTGCGGGAGTGTGGGTGTGTGAGCGAGTGGGTGAGTGCAAGGGAGAGAGAGTGTGTGAGAGAGAGGGAGGGTGCGTGGGGCGGGCAGCTGCGGGGGGCGGTGACGGACGCGATGGGGGTGGTGGAGATGATAAAGCTGCTCAACTGGCACCAGGAGGACGAGAAGTGCGCGCTGCTGGAGGCCGTGCTGCAGACGTACTGGCGCGACGACCCCTACGTGGCCATTCAGATGGCGTCCGTTGGCATGTTCAAGCCGCTCGTTGTGCTGCTCGAACCAGGTGGGTGCCAGTGTGGGGCTAGGTGGCTGTAGGTAGGTGTATGGGTCAGGGTGTGGGTCTGTGGGTTTGCGGGAGTGTGAGTGTGTGAGCGAGTGGGTGAGTGCAAGGGAGAGAGAGTGTGTGAGAGAGAGGGAGGGTGCGTGGGGCGGGCAGCTGCTGGGGGCGGTGACGGACGCGATGGGGGTGGTGGAGATGATAAAGCTGCTCAACTGGCACCAGGAGGACGAGAAGTGCGCGCTGCTGGAGGCCGTGCTGGAGACGTACTGGCGCGACGACCCCTACGTCGCCATTCAGATGGCGTCCGTTGGCATGTTCAAGCCGCTCGTTGTGCTGCTCGAACCAGGTGGGCTGTGGGTGTGTCGGAAGGAGGTGCGTGGGGGTGGGTAAGAGGGTGTCTGAAGGAGGTGGAGGGGGGCGGGGCAGGCAGCGCGACGACCCCTACGTCGACATCCAGATGGCGTCCGTGGGCATGTTCAAACCGCTCGTTGTGCTGCTCAAACCAGGTGCGTGTGTAGGTGTGTGGTTCAGTGTGTGGGTCAATGTGAGGTTCTGTGGGTGTGCGGGATTGGGTGTGCGAGGAATGGGTCGCCATTCAGATGGTGGGACAGGCAGCGCGACGACCCCTACGTCGCCATTCAGATGGCGTCCGTTGGCATGTTCAAGCCGCTCGTTGTGCTGCTCAAACCAGGTGCGTGTGTAGGTGTGTGGTTCAGTGTGTGGGTCAATGTGAGGTTCTGTGGGTGTGCGGGATTGGGTGTGCGAGGAATGGGTCGCCATTCAGATGGTGGGACAGGCAGCGCGACGACCCCTACGTCGCCATTCAGATGGCGTCCGTTGGCATGTTCAAGCCGCTCGTTGTGCTGCTCAAACCAGGTGCGTGTGTAGGTGTGTGGTTCAGTGTGTGGGTCAATGTGAGAGTCTGTGGGTTTGCGGGAGTGGGTGTGTGAGGAATGGGTCGCCTTTCGGATGGCTTGGCAGGCAGCGCGACGACCCCTACGTCGCCATTCAGATGGCGTCCGTCGGCATGTTCAAGCCGCTCGTGGTCCTGCTCGAACCAGGTGGGTGTGGGGGTGGGGATGGGTGGGGCAGGTATCCCCTACGTCGCCATTCAGATGGCGTCCGTGGGCATGTTCAAGCCCTCATCGTATTGTTTGAACCAGGTGGGTGTGGGGGCAAGGGGTTGGGTGGCTGTAGGTAGGTGTCTGGGTCTGCGTCTGGGTCTGTTCTGTGTGTCTGCGTTAGTGTGGGTATGTGAGAGAGCGAGTGAGCTAGTGGTTGAAATGAGTGAGAGTGGATGAGTGCAAGGGAGAGAGTGTGAGGGAGGGAGGGGGGGAGGGGCGTGGGGCAGGCAAGGGGGGAAGCGGTGACGGGGGGGGCGGTGAGGGTGGTGGAGATGATAAAGCTGCTCAGCTGGGTAGACGGTTACCGGATCGTGGCCTTGGAGTTGTCAGCTGTGCTTGAGACGGCTTATTTTGAGTCGACTCAAAACAAGGTTACCGGATCGTGGCCTTGGAGTCGTCAGCTGTGCTTGAGACGGCTTGAGACGCGTCCAAAATGGTCGGTTCCAACCCCTAGGTCTCTCCCCCACTCGCCTATCTTCTCCTCTCTCCCTCACTCCTCCCCTCCCGCCCTCCCCCCTCCAGAGAGCGACATGGAAACCCGAATGACGATGGCAGACGGGGTCATGACGTGGGGAGTCAACAAGGCCCACCGCGTCTCCCTCGTGCAGTGCGGGGTGCTTCCCCCCCTCGTCGCCCTGCTCAACGACGGGCCCCCAGAGGGCAAGGCCGCCGCCGCCAGAGCCATAGAGCACCTCTCCCACACCGATCTCAACCGCATGGCTCTGGCCAAGGCGGGCGTGATCCCCGCGCTCGTTAAAGCCCTCGCTCGCGGGTCGCCAGAGGTGAAGAATGCCGCGCAGGCGACGCTCGCGAATCTGGCAATGGACGACCAGGATTTGGACGCGCTGGACGAGGACGGGACGGCCGTTAGATTGATCACGATGCTGCGGGCGGGCCCGCAGACGAACCGGGACTACGCGGTGAGAACGCTGGAGTGCATGGCGAAGGAGAGCAAGTCCATGCGGGCTGCGGTGATGGAGGATGATGGGGCGGTTACCGCTATTTTCGAGGTGTTACAGGAGAGTGCGTCGCACTTTGCGGCGGGGAGTTTGAGGTCGTCGGCGCTGCTGCTGCTGGGGCACCTTTGCCAGGAGCACAACGCAGCTGAGATGATGTGTGCTCCCCCAGAAGTAGTCAAGACTCTTGCTACTTTACTCGCTCGGCCGCTCCCCGGGGAGGAGCGGGAGGCGATAGTGATTGTGCTTGGGACGATGGCGGGAAACAAGCAGATGCGGCCGCTGGTGCGGGTAGAGGAGCAGGTGTTTACCCTCATGCAGAAGTTTATGAATTTGAACCCGGGGGCGGGACCTGCCTCGTCGTCAGGTCCGGGGAGCTCCAATGCTGCGAGCTCGGCTCGGTTGCAAGAGGCAATCCTGTCTGGCTTGTCGAAGCTCGCCGATCCGGATGATATAGAAGCACAGCAGATAGTGGCTCGGCTGGGGGTGATTCATTTGGCCGTGCATTATCTCAAGATGGGGCCAGATGTCATGCGGATCCCCTCTGCTGTGCTGCTAGGGAACCTCTCGCATTCCACGCCGAAGCTGGTTGACCAAACCTCGCTCGACCGCAGGCTCGGCAAGGCCATGACCTGGAAGCTCAACTTCTCCCGGTCCAACTCGAGAGCCTCGGCGAGCACCGGCGGGACAGGCTCGGGAGCCAGCCCTGTGACGACGGGAACAGACAAACTCCGATCCTGCAAGGTGCACGGCGGGAAATGCAGCCTGGAATCCACGTTCTGCCTCGTCGAAGGCGACATCGTCCCGATCCTACTAGAGCTGGTTCGGCGGAGCGAGAATCGGGTGGCGGAGGTGTGCCTAGCCTCGGTGGCGACCCTGCTGGAAGACGAAGGCGACCACGAGCGAGCAGCGGACCTCTTAGTCAAGCTAGACGTGATTGAAGCGGCAGCGGGGGTGGTGGGGCGGACCAAGGAGCTGACCAAATGGGCGGTGTTTATCCTGGAGAAGGTGTTTGCGATCAAGAAGTACCGGGCACCCAAGTACTCCCAGCCTGCAGTGACGGCGCTGGGGCGGTTCATGACGACAGCCACGGGGCAGGGCAGGAAGACGGCCGCTGAGACGCTGATGCGGTTGAATATTCTCCCCAAGGGGTCGTTTGACCTGTGATGGGGTGGAGGGAAACGTGGAAGGGTAGTAGGAGGGGGATGGGGAGAGAGGGGTGGGTAGGACGAGGAGCACGCACAGAAACGGCTGGAGGGGGAAAGGGAGGAGGCGCTGGGGCGGTTCATGACAATAGCCATTGAAATTAGTTGGTTTCGATCCGCAGCCACGGGGCAGGGCAGAAGGTGGCTGCTGAGATTCTCATGCGGCTGAACATCCTTCTCAAGGGGTCGTTTGATCTGTGATGGGGCTGCAGGTGGGGTGGGAGGGAAGTTGATGGAGGGGGGATTGGAGAGTGGGGTGAAGAGGCGATTTGTGAGCTGATTAAAAAAATAATTTGTTGCTGGAGGGGGAAATGTTGGGGATGAGGGGGTTGGAGGGGAGAAGGGAGGGGGAAAGGGAAGGATGGGGGAAAGAGAAGGATGGGGGACAGGGAAAAGGGGGAAGGAGTTATCTCAACTGACTGGGACGGTACTGGGGCGCTGGAGGTGAGGAGGCGAGAAAAAGGGGATGGAGAGCGCGGTTGTGGAGGTAGGGGGGCAGGTGGGGTAATGTGTGGGACACTAGGGGGAAGAGGCAGGAATGTCCTTGGATGCCCCAGGGCAGGAAGGCGGCAGCAGGAGAAGAGAAGGGCTTGTGCTGAGTATGCTGCGCAGGAGGTTGTTGGAGAATAGACAGCACAGGGCAGCACGGGCAGCGCAGCTCACACAGGCAGCACAGGGGGCACGGGCAGAATGGTTGTAGGAATCTGGGGCAAAACGAAGATGTTTAAGGGGAGGGTACGAAAGGGTCTGAAATGGGGTAGGCTGGTAAAGTAGCAGAGGGTGGACAGGGAGCAGCAGTGACAGCGCGCCCATTTGGAATGTCGTCCGATTGAAAAAACAGCAGCAGTAGTAGCATCAGCAGCAGCGGCAACAGCAGCAGTATCAGCAACAGCATCAGTAGCAGCAGTCGCAGCAACAGCAGCAACAGCAGCAACAGCGGCAGCCAGTGGTGGTAGCAGCAATAGTGTACTGGCAGGCCCAAATCCCTGTCCATCTCCTAGTTGGCTCTGGTGCTGTTGCCACAACAGCACTTGGCTTCTTATCACTTCCTCTCCAAAACCCCATAACTGCTCCTCACTTCTCTCTCCTCTTTCTCACAATCCTTACGCTCCCTGCTTGCTTCGCTCACACTGTACACCAACCGCCTTCACCAGCAGCGTGCTTTTGCACTTGCAGGCCTAGTCGCCTGTTGCCTTTCCAGTTCCCTTCCTTGACCCTCGGTAATTTATGCCCCTTGCTTAGGCTTTGTCGCTCTGCTCGTAAGGTTTTGTGCTCTGCTCATACATTTTCTGGGCAGGCTGTAGCGCATTTGCTTTGTGGTGAGACGTGCCACAACGGAAGTTTTCATAAGTAGGTGTTTAGATTGGGATTTGGTGGCTGGTTCAGGTTGCACCCTGATGTGCTGTAGGCACAATCCTGTCATGAGTAGGTTGGACCAGAGGAAACATTTGTCCTAACCTTGCCTCTGTTTCGTAATGAAAACTACGGTACCGTATTTGAAGAAATTGCTCTGGAGCACTATTTTTGCTCGTCTACCAAAAATCTGGACTCGCTTTCTCCTCTCGACTCGAGTTTGGAGCTCGAAGATCCGGTAATGGCGAGTGGTAATGGACTTCGCCAAGAAAGAATCCGTCCCCAGCCGTAACTCCCCAGGTTTCCCGCCCGTCAGCTCGGTGTCTGACACCACCATTTCACACAGTGCTTGCGACTGGCTTGTGGAGATTCAGGGCGAATAAAATGCTGGACTGTAGTTTCAAGGGCCTGCAACTGGACCATCTTTTTGTTCTCTTTCTTTCAGCCGCGAGTCTTTATTCTGAATCCTGATTGCGTGCACTCGCATAGGTTTAGAAACGTCGCAGTCTGTAAGTAATATAAACTTGCCGAACGTAGGAACCAGCGCGTTTCTCAGCTTGTCCGTCGATTCTCCCTACGTCTATCATGTACGTTCCTAGGAGTCCGCGGGTCGCGCCGGCGAGCTATAACATCTCCGTGCGGAGAGCTCGCGGCGCGACCTACGTTCTCGCGGCTTTCTTCCTTGCGGCGTTCATCCTGATTTCCAAAGAGTCGCCGCACACCCGACGGCACCACCGCCACCGCCACCGCCACGGCCGGCACCATCGCACTATAGACTTTGGCGAAGGAACTATATCGAAGCAGCGGTTCAATCAGAAAATAAGCGGTGACGGAACTGGCGCGAGGGTTGGAGATGCTGACGTGGCAGATGTTAAATTCCCGGCATCTGCGGAGCTTAATGTGATGCCTAGACCGGAATTAACGGGGGAGTCTAAGCTGCCGTTTAATCCGATACCATCAACCTCGATACAAGCACATTCGTCCGGTTTAGTTTCCGCTGAAAAAGGTGAGGGTGATCTCATCGAGAACGAATCCACCCGTTCTCGGTCGGAGGCTGAGACGGAGTCATCTGGTGACGAGACGGTAACGGAGACGGTAACGGAAAAGGGGTCTGCTTTTCCTCGGCCGGATTCTGAAGGGCAGTCTGTGGGTCGGTCAGAGCTGTTGCGCGCAGGGGGAGCGGGAGAAGGGGGAGCGGAGGCGGAGACGGAGGCGGAAGCGGAAGCGGGGAAAGAAGAGGCGGAAGAGGGGGAGACGGCGGGCGAGGAGGGACTGTTGAAGCAGAGAACGAGGAGGAAGGAAGCCAAGTCGAAGCTTCCTAGAGACACATACGAGGACGGCGATAACGAGAACGAGGAGGAGGGAGGAGGGGATGGAGCGAGGGGCAGTGCACGAGAAAGGGGAAAAGGGGGTTTTAGTGGGAGGGGGGCTGATAGTGAGGATAGTGAGGAGGGTGAGAGTGAGGAAAGAGAGAGTGAGGAGGAGGGAAAGAGGAGGGCTGCAGATAAGAAGCGGCGGACTGAAGGGTTCGATTATGACGATGGGGTGGCGCATAAGGGCGGTGAGGATGATGATGATGGTCGAGAGGAGAGGAGACGAGAGGAGGGGATTAACGAGGAGTGGAGTAACGAGGAGGGGAGTAACGAGGAGGGGAGTAACGAGGAGGGGAGTAGCAAGGAGGGGAGTAAGGAGGAGAGGAAACGGGGAAGCAGGGAGGGGTTTGATTATGACGATGGGGTGGGGGATGGGAGTGGTGATGGGAAGGGGAGTAAGAGGAATGGTGATGACGATGATGGTGATGGTGGTGAGTTGGAGGAGAGGACGAAAGAAGAGGGTCAGAAGAGGATGAAGAGGAGTGCAGTGCGGTACGATGAGGAAGAGGAGGGGGAGGAGGAGAGGGGAGAAGAAGGGGTGGAGAGTGGGGGAGGGAAAGCGAAAGGGAAGCTGAAGGGTGGTGAGGTTGACGCAGGGACAAGGGAAGAGGTAGAGGGGGAGGAGGAGGAGACTTTAGATTCGACTCAAAAGGCACATCGAGAGAGTAAGGGTGGTGAGATTGGTGCTGCTGGGTCCGAGGACGAGGATGGGGAAGATGAGGAGGAGGTGGAGGTGGAAGGGAAGAGGAAGGAAGTCAAAAAGGGGACAGCGAAAGGTGTTTTTGTGGAGGAAAACGAGGAGGAGGAAGGACGGGAGAAAGCAGGCGAGCGAGAGGAGAAGGAGGAGGAGGAAGGGGATGAGGAGGGGGAAGGGGAGGCGCCGACAAAAGCACGGAAGCGACAGGAGGTGGAGGAGGAGGAGGGAGAGGTGGAAGGAGGGGCGCCGGCACTGGTGCCAGTATATGAAACCATGCATGGCAGAGAGGTGGTGTGGCAGGTGCCACGTGGCGACCTGCCATTGGCAGGAGTGGTGTTCTTTGCACACGGGTGCACGCACCGAGCCACGCACTTCTGGCCGCCCCACCGTTCCTGCCCGTCCTGCCTGGGCCTGCCTGAAGACATGGCTCTCGTGCAGCATGCGTTGAAGAGACGGCTAGCTGTTATCGCCATCTCCAGGTAGGCTTTGGGTTCCCAGGTGCGGCTGTCTGTTTCGTTGTCATTGGGCGACCTGCCATTGGCTGGAGTGGTGTTCTTCGCGCACTCCTTCGCGCACGGGTGCACGCACCGAGCCACGCACTTCTGGCCGCCCCACCGTTCCTGCCCGTCCTGCCTGGGCCTGCCTGAAGACATGGCTCTCGTGCAGCATGCATTGAAGAGACGGCTAGCTGTTATCGCCATTTCCAGGTAGGCTCGCTTGTGCCTCTCCGCCCACACCTATGGCGCCTGCCCATCCTGCATGGCTCTAGTGCAGCATGCATTGAAGAGACGGCTAGCTGTTGTTGCAATCTCCAGGTAGGCTCGCTTGTGCCTCTCCCCCCACACCTATGGCGCCTGCCCATCCTGCATGGCTCTAGTGCAGCATGCATTGAAGAGACGGCTAGCTGTTGTTGCAATCTCCAGGTAGGCTCGCTTGTGCCTCTCCCCCCACACCTATGGCGCCTGCCCATCCTGCATGGCTCTAGTGCAGCATGCATTGAAGAGACGGCTAGCTGTTGTTGCAATCTCCAGGTAGGCTCGCTTCTGCCTCTCCGCCCCACACCCACCGCGCCTGCCCGTCCTGCCTGGGCCTACCGGAAGACATGGCTCTCGTGCAGCATGCATTGAAGAGACGGCTAGCAGTGATTGCCATCTCTAGGTAGGCTGCTCTTTTCAGCCTCCCCCATGCCCACCGCTCCTGCCCGTCCTGCCTGGGCCTGCCGGAAGACATGGCTCTCGTGCAGCATGCATTGAAGAGACGGCTAGCAGTGATTGCCATCTCTAGGTAGGCTGCTCTTTTCAGCCTCCCCCATGCCCACCGCTCCTGCCCGTCCTGCCTGGGCCTGCCGGAAGACATGGCTCTCGTGCAGCATGCATTGAAGAGAAGACTTGCAGTGATTGCTATCTCAAGGTAGGCTTGGCGTGGTAGGCTTGGCGTGGTAGGCTTGGCGTGGTAGGCTGCTTCCTTCAGTCCCCCCCTCCCACCCACACACACCGCGCCTGCCCGTCCTGCCTGGGCCTGCCTGAAGACATGGCGCTC